AAGAAAGAAAGAAAGAAAGAAAGAAAGAAAGAAAGAAAGAAAGAAAGGAAGGAAGGAAGGAAGGAAGGAAAGAAGGATGGGGGAGGGAAGAAAGGGTAAGGGAGAAACAAACAAAAATTTACTTTTCAGGACTGGAGAGAATGGTCAGTGGTTGAAAGCACTGGCTGCTCTTCCAGAGGACCTGTGTTAGGATTACCAGAACCCATATATAATCTGTTGTTTGATAGATTTATACATCTGATATATGCATAAGTTCCCTTTCAACATATTTTTTCCAATGATAATAAGAAATTTCTCTAGTTTTCCTTCCAACAGCTCCATTTTGTGACTGGGAATCAAACCTAGAACCGGTTCAAACCAGGCAGTCGTGACTACGAGACTACTAAGGTACAGCCCCAGAACTTCTCTAACATAGTTGGAAAGCAATTTTCAACAGGAATTTGTAAATGACTTTACAATTACAGACCTTTTGATGACTATGATAGCTTTATATCAATCCCAATTTCTTCTTTGAAATAAACAGAACCATCTTGCTGAACCTCTTGCACCTCAGATGTACACATGGAGAGACAATTTTCCCAACTGATTTATCCATATGCCATTACTAAATGCTAGAGAATGTCCAGGTTCCAAATTTGTGCCCTTAAGTCTTAAAGCATAGTCCAATAACAGCATAATTTACATCCAGCCAGGGATCCATTGAAATTTTCCAATTAGCTGGAGGACTGTACTTTCAAAATCTATTCCCGATCCTCCTAAAAATGAGGTGAGCTTTTGTGGTAGTTTTTTGACTCTCTCCTGTCAGCTCACAGATAACCATTTATTTCACACAGAGATGTTGGTACTGTGAATTGCTTTCTCCAAATTCCCATGCAGATTGTCCACTCATTACGTGCCATTAACATAAGGTTTTTGTTTTGTTTTGTGTTTGTTTGTTTGTTTGTTTTTCGAGACAGGGTTTCTCTGTACAGCCCTGGCTGTCCTGGAACTCACTCTGTAGACCAGGCTGGCCTCGAACTCGGAAATCTGCCTGCCTCTGCCTCCCAAGTGCTGGGATTAAAGGCGTGCGCCACCACTGCCTGCCCGGGAACACAAGGTTTTGTTGGGATACTGGAGAGAAGGAAAAAGCACTTCTCTTTGCCAGGTTCCCAATCTCCAAGGCTCAAGACTCTGACTTCTTCCCGTTGTTTTCCTCATGCCATGGCACCATCGAGCTAGCAGCACCCATAGCCTTTTGCACTTAGAACCTGAGCTGAGTACTAGCTGCTCTAGACATCTGAGGTATGACTGTGGGAGTGTCTCCAATGAGGCATTGCAGCAGACAGCCAGGCAAGGTAGCACTTCCTGAACTTAATATCAGCCCTAGGTGAATTGAAAATGGTGGTAAATAACTGGGTTGCCTTTCTGTTCCTGCTTTGATCCTTTACTAGAAGGTTGTGTACCCCCAACTGTCTGTACAGAATCGGCACCATT